AAGTATCTTCAGGAAAAACAACAGCGGTTGAGAAAGGGAGTTCTTTCAGAAAGGGTCTTTTGCAATACCTTGCCATGCCTCAGCAACGGAGCAGTGGTTATTAAGCAAAACCACACTTGGCCATGTTTCTTTTTACAGCTTGTATTTAACACTCAATAGATCTGATATCACTTACCACCTTCTTTTTTTAAGCTATGTTTTAAGTGAAAAAACAAGACATATTGAATTTTAAAAATTTACTTCTTCCAATTTTTGCTTTTGTTTTGACACTGCAAGCAAATAAAATAATAAAGCCTTTCCTACGTAATCTTCCCGTTTCAGAAGGACTGTGCATTTCACAAGAAATGAAGCTACACCATTCATAAATAAATGGACCAGAATACGCTGCTCACGGCAAGCCACGGCAAGCCTTGAGTTGCCCTCCTTCCTCCCACCGCCCTCCCCAGGCGGTCCCATGGGACTGGCTGCTCTGCACTTACAACTGGAACTTGAACCGCTTTGCTAAAAATTCGAAACACTACGAACGGCAAGACCTGGAACTGGCCTGTTAAATAACCCTTAATTTGTTAAGGATTTTCATCACGAAATGCACACGCATGCACAAGTTCTTCATGGACATATTACCCCACAGCTCACCTACACGCTTACAGTGTTCACAAAACCAACTAACGCTCACAGTTTATCAGCTGCACCAAAGCAGACATTTACCTGAAAAACTGCTATAATTCCCACTGTCTTTCTAGCGTCTTCTGTTGCTCTTCGCTGGTTAAGTCCACACAAATGATCAACGACAACGTGAGTCCCATGTCCCCATTAACAGTTCAGAGTGCCAATCTCCATGCTGGTCCTTCAGAGAGTTTGACGGATCATAGTCAACCTGGAAAAAGACGAAAAGTAAATAACAACAACGGTAACGATCATGGTACAAGGTAGGGATGCAACAGACAGGACCAGATTTCTAACACTAATGACCAGCTTCAAGCAAATCACTTCCACAGCTTGATCCAGCTCCACCTGTCTCAAAACTGCCTGCTTCTTCTCTAATGAAGGCTCGAGCCGGCTGTTCAAGTCATAACAGCTCCTACGCAAGGAGCTAAAATTAACAATTGCATTATGCACCGAAGATTACTCACTTCAATTTTAACCTTTTTTAGTGAATTCCAGCACTTTTCATTAAAAAAAGCATTTATACATATTTATATCTAAGCTCATCTGTTTGCTTCAACAGAAATCAAAGAGGGTATGAGGAAAAAGGACTTGCCTGTTTTTTAACTACGGCTTCTGCTCCAATTAAAGTTGCAATAGTCACACGCGACTGAAAAAAAGAAGCTAGGTGGGTTGCTTTTAGAAAGTGACCTGCTTTGCCACGGTAGTGAATCGAGACGTTCATTTAATAAGCCGAATAAAAGTTGAAACGATCAAGAATGGGAGGAGAAGGAAGAAATCCTATTCCCCCAACAACGGCCACCAGAAAAACTTCCTTTGAGGCACCGTTGAGGAGGAAAAAGGAGCTCTCTGGGTTACGGTTCGGAAAATAAACCTGAAGAAAGAGTTGCCTCAGCAATGCCATTTATGCTGCTCATCAGGACGGCGTTTGCCAGCCGAATAGCTGATCTGACAGAAAAGGAGCGTTTTGGGATGAGTCAGACGGATTTACAAGCCGTGGCCGCGTGCCGAACTGTCTTGATACAACAGGCACCTCTTCCCAAGGCTTCCATATGAATCACGGTTCGAGCAATTAGTGCAAATACACAAAAACAGCAAATAGGAGGAAACAGGTATCATTCTACTTCGGGGGGGGGGACCAAATAAAAACCCTGAAATTCATCTCACTCTAATGTCAGACTCCTTGTTTCTGAGGCACATTTTAAATTGTGCACGGTTGCAATTGCAGTCCGGTACACGCGCTAGAACCCACCCTGTTAAAAAGAGCCAAGTTTCAGGTGCCAGAAATGGAATTTAGCCTTTCACAAAAATCAAGTCCTGCTCTCTCCGGGACCACAGAGGAGACCGGCAGGCAGTTCTAGAAACTACCACTGCCACCCTGCAAATTTATATACATACAAATATTTCTTTCCCTCAAACCACTGAATAATTGGTACAGAGTAACACAAAGTAGGTCTTCCCACTCGCTTTTTGGTATTTCTCGCAGGACATTCTCAGAAATTTTCTCTCGCTGACAAACATCCATTGCAATGGAAGTGGAGGAACAATATGGAAAATTATGCCTAAGCACTCAAGCCCATGCAAATGTTTTTCATGGAGCCATGAGAGAAAAGAGCAAATAAACCACCGACTGAAAAAATCTTTCCTCATAACCACCTTCCATTAACCCTTTCCCTCACACTTCCGAAAGAGAAGGGGGGAGGGGAAAAAAAAAATCAACCAAAACCAACCACGAACCAAAAATCCCAAGGAAATACAGTGCATTACAGTTTCACCTGGAAAACAGCCAGGTAGGGTATAGACCGTTGCAATCAAACCTCTCCAAAACTAACCGAGAAATAGATATCTGTACCAAAAACAGGACACAAAGAAGTTATTTCAGGATTCTTCAGTGTTACCATGTGTTGTGAATTAACTATTCATAAGACAAACAAACAGAGCCAAACAAAAACCAGACAACCAACCAACGGGTATGATATCCCATAGCAAGGGAAGAGAGCTGCCCAGACTCCAATAAACACCATTTCTGGTCTTGTGCCACAGATACTCAACATAATCTTATCACGCTTTACCAAAGACTTATTTCTTCATAAACTGAGTTCCCCATATTGTTACACTTAACATCTCCGATGCCAACACCATTTTTCATTTGCAATGTACGAGAAGACCACAGAATCTTAAATTAAAACTACAAGAAAACCCCATAAATTTCCCCAAGAAAACATAAGCAAGTGGAAAATAAGCTTACAGTGCGCAGCTACCATTTTTCAAACCCGCAACGACAATGTTTCTTAGGATGATGTTTTTACAAAATCCTTCATCGTTATCTTCCGGGGAAAAATAAGGCAGGAAGAACTGAGACATACAGCAGTCACAGTCGAGCTCTTCACCTTCCCCCAATATAAATTTCCTCCTCCTCCTCCATTAGGCGATTTACAAGTGATGAGTAATCATTTACATACTACAATACGTAAAATACATTCTGGATGTTTGGGTGGGCTTTCAGAGGGACTCAGGTTTCTATAAAATACTTCAGGGAGAGTATAAATAGCAAAAAGGAACTGGTGAGAAAATAGCCATTAAGAGTGAGACATTTTGATTGAAAATACGTCTCTGTTTCTCGTGCGTCTCCAGGATATCTGGTTATTCAGTGATGAATGCACTTTTTACTGGTGTCAGTCCTGCGGCGACAGCACTGCTATGGAAAAACAGACTGGGTTATTCTCTTTCTTGCACATCAACAGAAACGTCAGCAATGATTTGACTGTCAAAACCTCCAGTACCAAAGTGACGCAAAAGGCTGAACAAATGCACTTTGCGTTTTTGATCCTCAGGTAGAAACTGCAAAGTTTGTTGCTAGGCAAAAATCTTCATCTTTATTTGCAAGCGAGCAAAATTTCATAGGGGTGTTGGGATGTTAGAAGCGGTCTACAGGAGCTTGCGGCACGATTTCAGCCTCTAATTCCTTAAAGCAACCTGAGTATCGCACGCTGCAATGCAACAGAAAATACAGGTGTCCACCAGCCATCCGTAGAACCACTTCAATGGAAATATCATCTGTTTGTACAGCATTTATAAGCACCAGCTGATCAGCTTCCACCGTGGGATGGAAATGTTGGTTTTTTTCTTAAATTCCTTGCTTTATTAACCGGATTTTCACTTTACAAGCTGAGGGTACTACTGAGCTTGAGCAACTACTGTCACACCTCACAGAGAAACGGATGGAAGAAAACGAGTATGGTCACATACGTTTGTACAACACATACCACGCAGATTCCAAGAGAAATCTTTGAGAAGGGATACACTTAATTTAATGAAAGAATTTATAAACTATACTCAGACAAAGAGCTGTCAAAAAAGCACAGAACAGAAAAATGAGCAAAGACATTAGAAAGCCCTCCTCAATGAACATCTGACAGCTGGCCATCAACTGAAATTAAACAGAGAGACATCTAACAAAACCCTAAGAGCCCACCACAGGCACGTAAGCCCCTTCTGTATTATGTATCAGGAAATATTTTGATTATCTCAAAGGTATCACATACCAAAGCAGGAATTTTGAGATCCTTATGCTCCCAGTAAGTACCAACATCTCCTCTCTCAGACGAGATGAGCAGGCTCTAATGCCAAACAGCATACTCTTAACCAAGAGCAGACAGCAGCAGGCAGGATCGAACCCTGCCCAAGTGAAACCCAAGGGTTTTTTCTCCAAATAAAGCTGCTAAGCATAGATGTAAAATCATTGGAGCCTGAATGGCTCCTGTAACTGAAAACTGGCTGACAGTGGTGGTACCTACATGTCAGGATCCTTCTCAACCCACAGTGATTTCCCACCCGCATGAATGGCTCACAGGTACGAGCCCATGAGCTGGAAGCAGAGATGTCAGTCATGATTTCCACTATGCGATATATACCTCATCCATATGTATAAAGATAGCTTCGACTCATTATTGCTAACTCACTCATCAGGTTCCTGGAAACCAACTATGGCATTATCTTAAGATTATCAGTACACACAGCCCTCAATGTTGCCAAACTCTCATGGCTTAAAGCATAAACCTCCTGTTATTTGACATTTACTTAAATATTCCAGTTCCTACCATCAAGCAAATCTATGAAAATCTCAGGTTTCACACTGAAAAAAAAAGGTTCACCCCTCTGGTGGCTTCAAAGAAAATCTTCAGGATATAAAATCTATTGTTAAAAAAACCAACCAAACAAACCAAATGCCCCAACCCAAAACAGAACACAAAACCAAAACCCAACCCCACCACCAAACCCAAAAAAGGCAAACGAAATACATCCTACAGTTTTAGTTTGAACACACCACTACTCAGCTGTCAGTCCTAGTCTTCAGGACCTACATCATTAGACAGGCAGTACCCTGTGCTCCTTCTCACTATCTTTCCACATTTCCCACAGAAATACACGTATGCACTTGGAAGCCACGTTTGCTCCTGTGCACTATCACGGCAGGATAATAATCCATGCCAGCTTCCACACCAAAATGCTTTAGTACGAAAAAAAAAGAAAGAGAAAATCAGGGCTGTGAAACACATGGAATCCTATGAGTTCACTGGTTGTTAACAGACTGAAGGCTAAACCTTAAAAAAACAAGGGAAAAAATATTTTTAAAGGAAATGTTCGAAGCCTTATTTTATTTCCCACCTCCTCTTGTCTTCACTTTGTCCCCTCCCCATCATCACTATGAAACCAGATACAGCGATTGCCTACATTTTCTGCTTCCACGTGCCACAGACCTTTGTGGGTAAAAGGTTATGTAGACTCCCTCACTGTTGGCACTTTAACAGAGCCCGTCAGCAGACACACTCTGTTTCCCAGGAGTTACAGAAACATGAGCATCCTTGTACAAGGAACAGCACAGAGGCCACTGACCCACCTTAAACAGGCCAGCAAACAACCATCAGCGGCAACGGTGGTCAAGTTTGATGAAAACGGGGAGGACTGAAACACACTGGATCAGACTTCAGACCCTACGCAACAACCAGTTGTCTTTTACAAGAGGCGACTAGATGATATGAGGGCCAGCATCCCAGCTGAAGCCTCTGTCTTGGAACAGCGCTGGCTTTCCTCCCAACCTGCACGTGAAACCCAGTATTTACGAATCACAGCAGGGATAAGAACAGTCTAACAAAGAAACAAACTAAACCAAAACAAACAGAAACAAAGCCATTTATTGTGGTTTACACTTGATTCCTTTTTTCAAAGGGATTCTCCTGTTCCTAACGGATTGCCACCAATATTTTCCACTTTAATCCCCTGTCAGAAGACCTCATGTCAATGTCATCATCTTCAGCCAAGTAATAACAACGATGTTCCCTGCAGCTTCCCATATTTCTGCAAAGCCAGAAGCTC